GCAGCAATAACTGCTGCTCTTTGAGATGTGGGACCAACGCCCTGAAAGTAATTTATTAAAAATCAATATAATTTTGCATAATAAATTATGCAAAAAATAAACGTGTGAAAAAAAAAAAATTTATTCATCTTACTCTCCAAAGTCCGAAAATCCCTTCGAGTTTATAAATTTCAGCGAATGATGCTACAATGCCATTTCTTTGAACACCTAGGACTTGCATTCTAACCTTTAAAACATCAGTTGGATTAGCTATACTACTAGAAATAACTCCTGCTACAATAGCACACCCCACATTCACCACCAAATCTTCTTCATTTTGTTTAAATAGTTTTTTTAACGAATAATAAGTTCCAAATTTTATCGTTCCATAAGTGGCTTGCCTCAAAACTGCTGGTGCTATGCTGTTAACAAAAAAAAATTAAAAAATAAAAAATACTTTTGTAAAAAATATTCATTTTAAATTTGTATTATTAGAAAAAAGGGGTAAAAACATTTAATTATATTTATTTATGATTTTAAAAAATTTTTTTAGATGACATTGAATAAAATTTTACGATTTCCTACTCGAGTAATACATTTCTTTGAAGTAAAAAAAAAAAAAAAAAAAAAAAAATTAAAAATTCATTTATGTTTTTGACAAAATAATATTTTATCAAGGTTTAGAATAGCATTTTTGCTTAGTATGTAAAAATTAAACTTATTACATAATCAGAAAATAACAATTTGATAGACAACTAATAACTGATAAACAAAAATATTTTTTTACATATCGTTTATAAAATGAAAATATTTTCTACACACCGCTACTTCTTAACAGCTGTACAGTTCGATAAAAGACTGTTCAATTGCTCATGTTCCATTCTTCTTCACTCAGGATCTGTAAAGTAATAATCAGCTGACAACACAAACAGAAAAAGCATGATTTCCATAAAAATGATTTCTTAATTAAAATTATTTATAAAAACCTCTTGGTTAATATATTTGTGTTGTTAGCCAAAAAGCAAAATGACAAAAATTCAAAATGTAAATAATGAAATGAATTTTAAGATTAAATTTAATCTAACATATGAATTATAATTTTAAATAAATAATAATATGAATCATTAAATTTTAATTTAAAAAAAAAGTTTATAAATAGTACCATGAAAGGTATATCGATATAATACGACATTTTAATAAAAAAAAAAAAAGTTATTAAGAATTAATACATTTAAATATAATAAAAAACAAAAAATTATTTAAATTATTTATAAAACTTTGATTTTACATACCCTGCATACAAAGCTTGAAATCCTTCTTGTTTTGATATTTGAAAAAAAGCATCAATCATACCATGATATCGAAGTTTGGCATGAGTTGCACCAAATTTTTGCCCTTGGATTTGGAGTCGAGTTTTGGTTGTATCTATTGGAAATGTACCTGAAAGGAACGAAATTTCTTATTGATGGTATTCAATATTTAAAACATCTGACAAATAAACTGAATAATGATAACAATACCAAATTCAGCAGCACATGATGCTAGACCTCCATATACGAAAGGTCTCCAATCACGATCGGCCATTCCACGCCAAACCCCAATTATATTATTTTTGACAACTATCACCTAAAAAATTTTATTTATCAATATTTCGCAATAAATGACTGATTTTATATTCCTTTGGCTTTGTATCAAATCAAACACACTAAAAAAAAATTTTTAATTTAATTTAATTTAATTTACGAATATAAATAAAACGAAAAAGATTTACATATTTGATATTATTATCCTACCTATTAAAAAATGTTTTAATGAAAATATTATTATTAATTCTATAAAAATTTATTTTCTATATTTGTAATTAAAAAAAAATTCGATTATTAATAAAATACAAAAGTTAAATGGCGACATGAAATTAAAACGAAAAAAAAAAAATCTTATGCAGTCAACTAAAAAAAATTAAATCGTTTTTTTTTCTTTTCAAAACATATTTGAAATGACAACTCTTTTTAAGGGAAACCGGCCGCCTACCGGAGATTTAAACCGTAGCAAATCATTATTCACGTTTTTCCTCTTTGCTATAAATTTCTTTTTGCTCTCATTGGTTAATTATTTAAGCAAAAAAAAAAAAACAAAAAGTTGTTAAATTTTAAACACCATTCGAATTTCCTTTTGGAATTTTGGATTTTAATTACTTATTTAAAAAAAAATGAAATTAATTTTAATAAAAACTTATTTACGCGTATTTGAAGGACAAAATAACAAATTAAAATTCCGTCTCTGCGTCCTTAAAATAATAATAACTTAACTTGCAAGTTTTTTATTTTACCTCGAGGGAAAATTTTTTTTAAAAACTAAATTCAACATAAAAACCGGATAAAACTTAACTAACGTGACTTATAATTTTTTTTTAATGATTAATCATTATTATTTCATGTTTTAACCGACTCATTCGAATAAAAAATTTTTTAAATATAATAAATCGTATTTTAAAAGCAATCATTTACTTATCATTAAAAAACCGTTAAAGTGTTTTTTTTTTCATTTAAAAAAAATAATCTAAAAATAATTTTTTTCATTTAATTATTATTTTATATATTAAACTTTTTTTTATTTTAAAAAAAAAATGTACAATTTGTTATAATTATCATCATTATTCTTTCAATACAAAAAAAAAAAAAAAAAAAATTGCAACATAAATATTAACTTTAATAAATTTAATTTTCTTTATTATTATTATTATTATGATTATTATTATTTTAACTGTTTTGGTAACGTAAATCATTATTATTTTACTTTTTCGTAAAAAAAAACATAAAAAGTTTTCATTTGGGGGTCCTCCTTCCTTTTTAAAAATTTTCAAAAAAAAATTTTTAAATTAAAAAGCGTTTATTTTTACATAATTAAAAAAAAAAAATTTCTTTTGTTTTCTATTTCAAATTATTAAATTATTTAAATCAAATTAATTAAATAATTATAACAATTTATTATTATTATTATTATTCATATTACTATTTTTTTTATTATTACAGATGCTACTACCTATTTTTTTTTTTTTTGTTTAAATCATTGGTAAAAATAATTGTATAAATTTTTAATTTTTATATATATTTATGTATATATATATATTATTATTATTATTATAAAAATAATTTACAAAATGTTCATAAAAATTTTGTGCACAAATTTCTTTTTTTTTTGCTCCTTTAATAATTTTCAATTAAATTTTTCTTACAAAAAAAAAAAAAAAAAAAGAAAAAGCTATAAAAACGAATTGCTCGGGTGATTAAAAACTAAATAATAATAATAATAAATTATTATTTTTCTCTTACCAATAAGAAAACGGTAAGACGGTGCAATAATCAATCAATCAATCAATCACAATTTATGAACACAATTTTATTTTAAAAATAAAAATATGAGTGACTTTTTTTTTTTTTCTTTATTTTAAAGCAAATTAAATTTGAATTTTTTAATTGAAATTTACGGTGCAAAATCACTGACTGCTGTTTTTTTTTTTTTAAATAATTAATAAACGTTATGTGCTTTTTTTTTGAAAATTATTTTAATAATTATTAATTTAATAAAAATAAGTATTTTTAACTGTTTTGTTCGTTAAAATAAAATTTTCTACAATTTATTTAATAAATGTTACAAAAAAAAAAAAAAAAAAAAATTAATTAATAAATAAAGGCACGTTTGGTTTTTGAACTTTTCTCTTTCTTCCATTCTTTCTTTACATCATTTTTTGGTTATTTATTTTCATTTTCATTATTTCTATTCATTTCCTTTAATTCATTATTATTATTATTTTGTACAAATTTTAATGCAGTCTGTTATTATTATTCATCAAAAATAATTTTTCTTCTCCTTTCCATTCACATAAATTATTAATAATAATTATTATTTTTTTTTCGAATGAGTTTTTATTATTATTATTAATTTCTACATAATTTGACTTTGATTTTAAAATATTATTTATTTATTTATTTTTAAAGAGATTTCGCCGATAATTTTAAAAAATTTGAAAAAAAATTATGTAAAAATAACGCTTTATTATGACTAGACAATAATGTATAAGTTTTTTTTAGTTACCGGAAAATCATTCCGGTAATTCATCGGCTAGTTACAAAAATTAACTAAATTTATTATTATTATTATTATTATTATTATTATTATTTACCACAGAACAAATTATTGTCTCCGAAATACGTTGTGTCCACGTGTTATTATTATTATTTTTTTTTTTTACGTATTTTCAGAATGTGACACTAAATCGTGATCTCCTTCGCCATTTAAATCGTGAATCATCATTTTATTTTCTTCGCTCGAAGAATCTTCCGTGAGTAGGGAAATTGTCGATGTGGCAGCTTCCTGAAAATTTAATTTTTTTTTTTTTTTTTAATGTAAAAATAAATACGATTCCTGTTTACACTGATATCGACATGTATTTACCATTAATTTTTGTTTTTGGTGAGTTTTTATGTGTTTCGAAAGATGATCGCTTCGCATGAATTTCTTTTGACAATCCGGACACTGAAACCTTTTTTCACCCGTATGAGTTCTTCTATGTCTCTGAAAAATCAATAATTGATAATAAATATATAAACTACTATCAGTACGTAAATAATAAATTAATCATGATCATACCTGAAGTTCATCGGATCGAGTAAATCTTTTACCACAATACATCCAAGTGCATATAAAAGGTCTGTCTCCAGAATGCCATCTGAGATGTGCTCTCAGGTGAGATGTTTTCCCGTATACTTTATTGCAACCAGCTATATGACATATATGTTGCCTTTTTAAAACTCTTTCACCGCCAGCCCTTTTATTTGTAATGTGAAAAAAAAAAAAACTTTAATACGTGAATGTCTCAAAATGTACTAAATAAGGAAAGTCTCATACCTCATATTTCTATCATTTTCGACACAGTTAGGACAAGAGCAAGCCACTCTTCTAATTTTTTGTTTTGGCCCATCTTCATCATTGAAAGATATGTCATTAATTGACTGAGATATATTATTTTGATTATTATTATTAGCTACAGGAATGGAAGGTACTGTAACTATTTGCCATTTGGGAGGATCAACAACTTCTTGAACCTGTTGACCAGTTTCTGTTTGAAAATAATGAAATTATATATTAGTTTTTTAGTATTTTTAACTTAGTAGAATCCTTTTAAAAATTATTGCTTTTTCTTATTAAGTTAATAGAGAAAGAACAAAAAATACTTACGAATTATTTGAGTACCTAAAGGTAGACCTTGTATGGTTTGAGATGGTTGTGTTTGTTGAGACTGAAACGCGCTAGCAGGTATAACTTGCACCGGACCCAAACCTGGAACGTTTTGTACGAGAAAGGTTTGAATGAGACCAATATTTGGTCTTGCCTGTGCCAAATTGGCAATATTACTAGCAGGAATAACAGTTACTGGTTGTTGATTTTGAGACCCTAAAACACAAAATAAGTTTATTACAAAAAAAATGTTTTTCTTAGAATCTAACTTTAAAAATTTAAAAAAGTACCTGGTACAGCTAAAGTAAATTGTTGAGTAAGTCCTAATGAGTGCAATAAATTTTGTTGTTGTTGTTGCTGTTGTTGCTGCTGTTGTTGTTGTTGTTGTTGCTGCTGTTGCTGAGATTCTGCGGAATTTAAAATCGTAGGGGCAGATATTGTTTGTACAGTTACACTAGGTGTCGGGGTAGCTGTGGTACACCAAGAAGTAGTTGTCGCAGCATGGGAAGCATTACTCGAACTTATAATTTGTTGCGACTAAAACATGTACATTTGTTGTTAAAATTATGAAAACGTATTTTATTTTGATTGTCATAAATTTTTTGAAAAACATACCTGAGTAATCAAATTTGAATGATTTGCTGGACCAAGAATGTTAGCTTGACTTATCATATTATTTTGACTGGTTTGTGCAATCATGCTACCTTGATTTCCTTGTGAAGCAATCACATTGGGTTGACTGGTGGGCATGAGATTTGATTGAGAACTTTGAGTAATTATATTAGCATGATTTGTTTGAGGCAATACATTAGACCCTGCTAAGCCTCCACCTAATTGAGTTAATTGTATCTGCTGAATTTGCCCAGAAGGTGTAATGATTTGAGCTACTTGAGGCTGTGGTACAGCTGACATCTAAAATAATTATATTAAAACAATCGCTAAAATACACCTTTTAATATTAAAAATTGACTTATATTTATTGTAATTACTTACAGATGTTAATGCTGGTAGCATTTGAACAGGTTGTCCTGCAGTTTGAAAGAGCCCTGGTACATTTGAACCGAATGCATGAAGTGGAAAGTGAACTGTTTGATAAATAGTTTGGCCATTGGCAGAAGAAATAGGAACTTGAACTGGAACAGTTTGCTGGACAGCTGACATTTGCATTATTTGAGGTCTTACCGATAAACTTTGACCTTAAAAATTTTTTAAATATGTGCAGTTAAGCAACTGAATGTAAAACTTTTCAAAAAAAATAATTTAAACTGCTATACCATTCGGAAGCTGAATTGTTTGCAGAACGTTCGGCCTAACAACTTGACCACCTGGTATGAATTGACCTCCTAAATTTGTCATGGCTGTAGGAATAAACAAGGCTTCTTGACCATCTATATTTATAGTTTGAACTGGGTGCACAACATTAAAACCAGCATTCGGGTTTCCAGTGTTTGATGCCTTTAATGAGAATAAATTAAATTATTTTTAATTAAACGAAATCAATTTATAAAATAAAAATCTTGTTTATTTTTCTAACTTGAAACAATTGAGTCGGTAAGCCCTGAACAGACACCACACCAGGTAACTGATTAGAATTTCCGGATGCTGAAGTAAAAACTTTAACATCTTGTTGGGTATCTGAAGCTGTTGAAGTTTGCTGCTGAAGTGGAGGTAAAAAATTTTGTAACTGAGATAAAGTTATAACTTGAGGCTAGTAAAAAAAAAACACACACATTAATTTTTTGTAAGTTTTTAATTGTTAGAGTGAATTATCTCTGTGTATTACCTGTGTTTGACCTTGAGCTTGTGATCTATTTTGTTGTTCTTGAAGTTGTTGCAGCACAGCTGCACTGACCACTCTAATTTGCCCTGCTTGAATGGCTTGAGCAACTGTATTACTTTGATTTGAATGTCCATCAGATTGCTGTTCATTTTGTTGCGCTTGATTAACACCACCAATTTTACTACAAGTAGCAGCTAACAAAGCTAAAGGAGAAGGTTGGGTGTCCTAAAAATTTTTACCGATTGTCATTTTTTAAAATAATACCAACTTTTGTAATTAAATCAAATAAAACGGTCTGAATAAGTGCTACGAAATAGTAAATATGAAATTTATAAGAGAAAAACTTGTAAGAAAACTCTTATTACATTGAATTTAAAACATAAAATTTACTTTTAAGAATTTCAAAAGGTATGAAAATAAGTAGTTTTATTATTTATATAAAACTACTCAATAAGACGGATTTCAATAAAAAAAAAAAATTTTATTAAAAACAAATCAATACTTAGGGCAATGACTTGGCAACAATGAATAATGGCACAGAGATCGTAGGCCATAGCCTCCTACCGACCTCCCCCCGCCCACGGACCACACATACTGACCTGAGGCGTGGAATTGGGCAGTAGAACTTCAGTTTTGATTTTTACATCACCAGTATTAGAATCCGATGAAGACATTATGTGTTTTTAAATGACATAAGAATATTTTTACGCCAAAAAAACATCACCATGTTTACAAATAACCGTAACATTGCAACATCGCATTTTAAAATATGTTCGGAAGTCCTTGACAAAAATTCTAAAAAAGATCTATCTTTTAGGTTTTACATGTTAGTAATGAAAACACTTTATTATACTACAGATTATAAAATATTCACAAACATTATTTACACATTTTTTTAAAAAATTATATGATCTAAAAAAATTTGTTTTCAAAATTTTTATAAAATAATAAATATCCTGGGCGTTACTACATTACCAGACAACTGGCGAGGCTTGATGTAGCTAGCGCAACCCAAGCCGAGCCCAAGAGGAGCCTGATTGGCAGCTGTGAACGCCTCAACACAACAAGCTTAATTTTTTCCCCATAAGATAAACATAGTTTTAAATAATATTTTAAAAGTAATTTAATGAAAAATAAAAATAAGTTAAACCAAACGCTAACGTTTTTTTAGTGCTTGCTACTGTCATGTTTGAGTTTATATAATCTCATAACGAGTCGACTTTAAATGCACATGCTTTTGGTAAGATAATAAATACGAAAAATCCTTTTAAAGCCATGCCGAATTATGTATAAGGCTCTTTGTTTTCCCGTTACGGTGGAAAAGTGACTGAATAATTTCAGTATGCGAGAAACATTTAATCTTTACAAGTCTGAGAAATTTAATGAGAGAAACCGCCCCTTCGTCTTAATCTTAACTTAGAAGAGGAGGAAAGGAGGGAGATTTACTCTCACTTTGATTTATATCGTTACACCCTAGGAACACCCTTTATCCTATGCATGATTATAATTTCGTATATTATAATAACTAAGATTATTATAATTATTTAATTCCTGATTTTGTTGAGAGAAAATTCAATTTAAAATATTTCTAAATTTAAGGTGGAGTATTATTTAATGAAAGATTCCAAATATTTTAAATAGTAATTTAAAAAAAAAGAAAATTATATTAAAACCTTGAAAAAATGTCAAAGTCAAATATTTGTTCTTTACTTTTAAATATAAAAAAATCTATTTTTCTTTTTAATAAATTTAATAAAAGAAAAAATCATGGCTTTGATTGAGTCTATACTCTAATGTTTAATATTATTTTTTATAAAATTTTATTTGCTCTTTTAAAGAATTATATCTTATATATTAAAATAAAATTTAAAAATAAATCAGTTGGATGTATTTTTTACCGCCAAATTATTTTTACGGAAATTGCATTTTCAACTCTTTTTCGATTCTAGTTCCACGACAAGTATTTGCCGCCCGTATTCTAGTAATTAATCAAAGAAGCTAATAATCATGGAGGTTTCATTTTTTTCTAATATAAAGGATAAAGATTGGGTATGTAATTAATGCTTTGATAAACTATTGTAAAATTATTAAAAAAATTGTTTAATATAAAGTAAATATATAAAAAAATTTATAGTTCGGGTTAATTTTGAATATCGTACGCGTACATTATACATCAAGAATCATCAAATTTTTCTGATTCAGTTGTGGTTAGCTTTGGTAAAGCTGAAAAAAGTAAATCTTCAATCGATGTTATATATTTTAGAATACTTTCATCGTTTACTATCTCTGCGTGATGTTTAGCTTCGACAAATAGTTTATATGCATTGGTATAATTATTTTTTTTCATTTCACATTGTCCTTGTAAAACTTTGGCTGAGCAAATCCATTTTGAATTGGAGCATTTGGTTGCCCAAAATTCAGAATCTACCCCAAACTTGTGACTTGTATCATATTTTCCCATTTCAAAATAACATCTACCAATTTCATGGAAAAGCCATGCTTTCTTTTCGCTATTTTCTATCATTGGAATTAATTTCTCCCATACAAAGGCAGCTTCTTCGAATTTTCTAAATTTTACATAAACTTTACCTGATAAAATGTAGCTCTGTGTAATTAATTCACTGTTAGCCGAAGAAATGGCTACTTTATAAAGTTTTTCTCCAAAAGCCTTTGCTTTGTCAAAATCTTCTTTTTCAATGTAAGCTCTTCCTAAATAATTAAAAGCAGTTGCCAAATAAATCCATTTTCTCGGTAGCATTTTATCAGGTTTTTTATTTAAATATTTTATAAAGTTTTCGGAAAATCTTATTACATCTTCGATTTTGTTATTCTGATAATATCTGCCAATCAATATTACTTGTTCTTCGCAATATTGTCTAATTGTATTTTTTTCTTCCAATACCTTAGCTTCTTTTTCGAATCTTTCGAAAGCTTCTTTTTCAGCTAATTTTTTATTCATTTCACTTCTTAATTTTTTCCATTCCTTTGCATTTTGTTCTTTCATTTTGAAATAATCTTTATCTTGCAAATATTCTTTAACATCACTCGCAGTTGCTGGAATTATTTTATAGCCTTTACCATCGTGTACTTTTAAATTAAACACTCTTTGGACATCTTGTTTTTTACATTGCGTGTATATAGACCTAGCAGTGTCTGATTTAAAATCAGGTGTTTCTTTGTACAAATTTTGTAAACTGTTTTTCATTTGTATTTTTTTTTTTTTGTAACCTTTTTGAATGTCGACTGATTTTTGATAAGGCATTGTCTTATAATCATTATCCTCTACATCCTCCCTCAAATGTTGCATATTAATACCATTTTCTTTCAAATCATTTATTATTGCTAATTTTGATTTTTGCACACCTGAAGCGAACGCCTCATTTTTAGGCTTTAAAGAAGCACCCTTGCTAAATTTAACTAACGCTATTTCGAAATCGCCTTTGTTAAATGATTCCTCTGCTTCTGCATATATTTTTTCAATTTTATGCTCACTTAATTCGTGTTCAAAAGTGTCCGATTGTTTATTTGCTCCATGATGAATGAGAAAAGATCTTTGCCTCACGATAGATTGGTCACTTTTTTGTACCGTTATTGGATGAGATGATTGAGATCTCTTCATTTTTTTCGGCTTTAATTGTACGAACCATTTAATATAATTAGTTTTTTACCCGTTTGTGTCAATGTTTTTAAATTAGTAAAAAAATAACATTTATTTTTCTTTTATTTCAAATTCTCAAACCAACAAGTAGTTTTGCATCATTTGTTTTGTTTATCTAGGCGATATTTTTTTCAAATATTTGTAATCCCCTCACAACTTACTTAAATTAGAATGGAAATTACTAAATTAATTTAAACAAATTTTTTATAATTAATCTCATTTAAAAAATTGATAATTAATTAATTAATTATGAAAAAAAAAAAATTCACAGTTTGTAAAAGAAAATTATCAATTGATAGCAAATTGTATTTTTTTTTTTTTTTGTGCTAAAATGTTAAGAAAAATTATTAATACTGGTTTTTAAGGGAGTTTTTTAAAAAAAAATTTGTCTTTTTTTTTTTTTTATAAACCACCACCACTTCTTTCAACTGATATTTTCTTTTTCAGCATTTCTTTTTTATGATGTTCTTCTTCCATTTCGGCAACTTTGGCAAATCTAGAATGTGATACTGCACCTGATTTAATTGCGGACATCATCTGCCAGGAAAAAAATTATGGAACATTGTTATAAACTGCGCCTTATGTAAGTAAGTAAAAAAACCGATTCAGTACTCTAATTTTTTTTTTTTTTTCTTCAGTACCTGTAAATATTCATCCAATTCTATTTGTCCGTTCATATTTGTATCTATTTCATTTAATATTTCGTGTAATTCGTCTCCGGATATGTTTTCTCCCGATCGCTAGAAAATAAAATACGAGAAATGTGTTAATTAAGTTCAAATAGTACCGAGAGAAATTTTAAGAAAAAAAAAAAAAAAAAAAGTATTTTTTTTTAGGTGTGATTGATTACTTTTAAACTTCGACGAAGGTCATTTATCGACACGTAGCCTTTTTTGTCTTTGTCAATGATTTCGAATCGATTTATGTACATTTTAACTTCTTCGTTGCTCAGGTTTATCGGTATTTTTTCTTTGGAAGCTCTATTCACCGAGTGACCCATTTCTTGTTGTAAAAATAATGTGGCTTGATTCAATTGTTTCTGGTAAAAATTATTTATTAAATTAAAAAAAAAAAAAAAAACCGGTTTGAAAAAAGGCATGTAATTTCAGGTTTTTTTTTTACGTCGTGTATCATTTTACTTTTTTTTCTTCTTCGCTCCATTTTAATTCCGTTGCCATTATGTCGACTATCACGGGCAGGGATTCCATAGCTGCTTGAACGTTTAGAAAAGCTAATCGTATTCTTCGAGCGATCATGTCAACGGCAGAGCAAGCATATTCTCTAATTCCGTACCTAACTTCAGCTTCGATGTAAGGATATTCGGGATGAATTCTATTTCCCAAAATGGGCCACCTTTTCCCTGTTAAACTTGCCATTTTGGCCACCGCAAATGCTCTGTCGCCGTATGATTGTGCTAAATGTTGAGCCACTTCCGTTTCTAAACCGAAATCTTGAACTAAACGTATGTACATTGTGGGAGTCCAACCGTGAGCTCCTTCTATTTTTAAATTGAGTGTTTGACAATCTTCATGTTTTGGTTTCAAATCACAAACTTTATTAAAAAAAAAAAAAAAAAAGAGTCAAAATATTTATTTAAATAATATTTTTGTTTGTTAGTCTTTATTGATTTCAAGGAAAAATAGGTTTTGTTTAGTTTTTTCATCGTTTTACTAACATTATCAGCTTTGGGTATCGCCATTTCAATAATTCATATCATTGCCTAAATTTTAACGTTTTATTTTGTTCAATAATCGATCGTTTCAAATTTTGAATAAGTAAAAAATGGTATTTTCATTAAAATTATTCTCTATAAAATCTCTTTGTTTAAAGACAAGTTTTCTCTTGCTTTTTAACTTTAAACGTTTGGCAAAACTTGCAGCATTACCTTTTATGGCTTCGTCAATGGTTTCTTCCGCCATGGCTCTATAAGTTGTCCATTTTCCTCCAGCTATGGTGATCAAGTTACTTTTACTTGAATGTACAATATGATTTCTGGCCAAAGATTGAGTGTCTGGTTTATTAGGATCTGAAACAAGAGGGCGAATGCCACTCCATGCTGACAAAACGTCACCTCTTCTAACTGTAAATGAGAGTAAAACGTGTAAAGTAATACAAAAAATACAATTTACCCTTAAACTACGATGTAAAACGTATCTAACCTTCAACGTCTGGATTTAAATAGTGTTTTACTTCCGATAGTATGAACTGTATTTCGTCTTCTGTAGGTTTTGGACTATGCGTTATTTCACACGGTAAATCCGTGGTTCCCGCGATCGTTCCTTTCATCCACGGTAAAAAAAAAATTACTCTACCATCTGAAGTGGAAGGATCCAATAAACCCATTTGTTCTGGACTGATGAGTAGACAAAGTTTTATTGTAATCGTTCGTAAAGTTTTGGCTTTTTAATGTTAAATTTTAATTACCTGTAGTAACCGGGCAAAATCACGTGAACGCCAGAGCTCGGAGAACAAATTTTTCGGGCTTGAGGGTCATCCATTTCTCTGATCGTATCCGTAAAAGGTCCAGTCGCATTTATGACACATTTAGCCGGAATATCCCATTCTTCTTTCGTAAGTTCGTCTCTTGCTCGAACTCCACATATTACCTCTTTACCCGATTCCGTTTTATTTTTAAGCAGGTCAATGCATTTTACATGGTTGGCAACTGTTGCTCCGTATCTCGTTGCAGTCAGAGCGAGTGATAAGCACATTCTGGCATCGTCTTGTTGCCCTTCAACACCGAATTTTTACCGTTTTTGACTTACTGTAATTTTTCATCAGAAGGGAAAGGGCCCGATAATAAAGGAAAATCAAAAGAAACATTCGATGGATTATTTAGTCATCTTACCGTCGTAGTACACAATCGCTCCGCACAATTTATCCTTTTTCAACATTGGAAATAATTCAATGGCTGTTTCTTTTGACAAATAATAAGAACTCTTGACCGTTTTTGATCCGGCAACAAAATCATACATTTTTATTCCGAACCAATAGTACGGAACTTGCCACCACCTGGATGTGATAATAATGAATAAGATATCGATGAAATGATAAATTTTTTTTTCCAGGGATTAATTTCACTTACTTATAAACGGGAAGCATGATGGGCAAAGGCCGCGTTAAATGAGGAGCAATTTCGAGCATGTTCGATCGTTCTCGCAAAGCTTCTTTTACCATGTTATATTGTTCGACGTCAAAGTTCATTATGGCTTTTTGCAAATACCTAACTCCACCGTGGATAAGTTTCGTACTTCGACTACTGGTACCCGATGCAAAATCATCGGCTTCAATCAAAGCCGTTTTCAAACCTTTAAAAATCATAAACGAAAGAGGTAAAAAAAATTCGAGAGGTCATCGCCGCGCCATCCGGAAAAAATTTTTTTAGTAATTTTTTTTTTTAAACACAAAATTTAATAGAATATTTGAAACAACAAGACCTCTTGAAACTGCATCCAACGCACAACCTGATCCCGTCGCACCTCCGCCAATGATGAGAACATCGAAAGAATCATTTTGAAGGGATTTAATTTGTTCGGAACGATGAGGGAGCGACCTTTTGACTCGTCTATACATTTGCCTGGCATCTACGACTTCCTCTGCCGAAACGTTTTTAATGTGAAAATTTTGATTTTCTAACAAGTAGGACGTCGTTAAGTAAGCTCCCGCACCCACGGCAATGCCGGTAAGCACAAATTTACGAAATCTGATACCCATATTGACGAATAGTTTAGGATGATGATGATACCTTAAAAAGGAAAAATAATTTTTTTTTTTTGAACGACTCGATAAAGTTATTTTATTTGTTTTTTTTGTCTCATTCGAAATAGTTTTTAAACGGTCACGTTTTTTTTTTTTTTTTTTTCGTCAACCTTATGATTTATCATCGAAGGTCACGATGATTGATTTGAAAGTTTTTTTTTTTTTTTTTTTTTTGATAAAAAACCTTTGGCATTCATTTGGTGTGTCATGTCGATAAATCACACTGTATGTGTTGCTTCTTAATTTGTTTTTTTTTAAAAAAACGACGATTTCTACTTACTAGCCTCAAACCACACACGGCGTGAAAGAACAAATGATGAAAAATAAAAATAATAAAAAAGAGAGAGAGAGAGTACTCGCGTTATATTATTGCTTACTACTACCACACACGGTTCAAGGTTAAATTTTTCGTAAGAGAAAATTTTTTTACTTTACGGAGGACATGGCAACCTCATACGTGATGCGTGTGTGTGTGTGTGTGAAAACTCGTTTATAATCGATTAATTATGACTTTAATTATCATTAGCTGGCAGGTAGATAATAATTTTCAGGTTACCGAGTTTGATACCGACGAATTATTAAAAAAAAAAAAAAACCAAAAGTTTTTACTTCAAGACGTCATTTTTTTTTTCAAAAGACTAAATACAAATCATTATTATTATTATTAAAAACGATTTTCACGCACAAACAACAAAAAGTCTTTTATTCACGATTTAACAAAAAAAAAAAATATTAATAATGATAATTGAACGAAACTTTTAAGTCGTAGAAAATTCTCACTGCGTCAAACGTCGTCTATCAATAACTACTAAATTTTTTTTCTTTTTTTTTTTTTTCTTTTTTTTACCTCCACGGCTTTTACGCGTATCACACGCACGCACTCATTCACGCACTCACGCACGCACACGCACACGCACTTAACCGATAAAATTTCCCATATTGATATCGTCGTAATTAATTCGCGCGGCGCGTTTTATATGATTGATGAGCACAAACGAACAATGAAATTTTTTTTTTAATTTATTAAATTTACTGACCTGATTTTTTTTTATTGATATCCGCCCGACAAAAAAAAATTAATTGATAAATTTAATTTTTCATAATAATAATAATAATAATAATTCGTAACGATCGTATAAAAAAAAATAAAATCGCAATGAAAAAAAAAAAAAAGAAAAGTTAGTAAAATCGCGTAACCTAGTTTTGACCTACGCGACCTTCAACATTTCAATATGAGGCCAATATGTTGTTGAGAAATTATTATTATTATTATTATGTGGGGAACCCACCCAAAACAACAGAAATAATAATAATAATAATAATAATATAGATAAAATTTTGTCAATCGCAGTCAATTATAAAAATCACAATAAATTTAAACCAAAAAAAATGTTTTTAGAAAGAAAAAACGAAAACTTACGCATCGGACGTGGGAAAAAACTGAAAGTGAATTGTAGTGAGATTGTCATATTGTACTTACTGCCAAACTAGACGTGGTTGTATACTTTTTTTTTTTTTTTAAATGCATCGACGGGGTTTGGCTTTAGTCCGAAAATTATTTTTAGATTTATTTATTTTTTTTTTTTTTCAAATTTTATTATTATTATTATTATCATCATCATCATCATCATCATCATTATTATTATTATTATTACCATTATTTTATTTATTTGTTCGAATGTGAAAAAGGAGAATTACAAAGTTATGACTACGATGATGGTGGTGGTGGTGGTGGTAAAAGAGGTGGTGGTGGTGGTAGTGGTGGCGATGTGAGGGGAAGAAAGAGGTCAAACTCCTTTAAATTTTCCTAGGGGGAAGGGGAAGGGGGAGGGGGAAAAGATATAATTCAATTATCGTATGATCAAAATGGAAGCATTACAATGTCGAAAGAACAGGTGAAGAAGACTTATAATTATCGGTGAGAGTGTGTGGTTCGGTTAAACCAAATGAAGAAACCTCCTTTTATTATACTCACCCATCCACCCCTTTTTCCCCCACTACAACAACAACAACCGCACACGCGATTTCGTTGTAATAATTTGTAAACAATTTGTAAATGACAATCAAGTTTCAATATTTATAATAAAAAGAATGTCCGAACGCTCGTGTCATTATTTCATTTGGATTTGTAGAAAAAGCAAGGATAAATAATAATAATTAAAAAAAAAAATTCGCGTTTGTTGTTTGTTTGTTTGTTGGTTGATTTGTTTTTTCTTTCCAATTTAACTTAAAAAAAAAAAAAGTATTGTAAAATAATATTAAAAGTGAATGTTTGAACTTTTGACATATTAAATATGAGAATCACAATTTTAATTTTTTCTTTATTTACATTAATAACTTTTTGCCAGGTTGTATGCAATTTCCATTACTCATTGATATTATTTTAATTAATTTTTTTTTTTTTTTTTGAAATGATTTTCGGGGTGGTGGTGGTGGTGATGGTTGGGGTACCACCATCAGCCAGCATCGTCATCATCGTCTTCGTCGTCGACAGAAAGTTGTCGTTCGTCCGACAAAGTTTGAAGCAAAAAGTTTTAATTTTGTTAAATTTTTTTTTCCAGGGTTACCGGTACAAAGTCACGCAAAGGGTTTATTTCGACGTCGCCGTGGGTGACAAACCCATCGGAAGAATCGTCATCGGGCTCTTTGGTCAACTGGTGCCCAACACTGTGAGGAATTTCGTCGCTTTGGCCACGCGAGGAGTGAACGGTGTGTCGTATAGGGGATCCTGCTTTCACAGAGTCATCAAAAATTTCATGATACAGGGTAATGTGATTTTTTTTCTTTTTAATAATTTTATTGTTTCGGTCATTTTGTGTTTGTCTTTTGGTAAATGGGATTCCCCACTCACCCCTACCCCTCACCCTCCCACCAAAACTCGAGTCGTTGCGGGGTTGAAATTTGAAGTGGAAAAATTATTTTTGCAAAGTTTTTACATCCCCATTTGAAAGTTTTACAAGACGAGAAATTTAATTATTTTTATTATTATTATTGGTTTTTCCGTTCCTTGAAATTATTGAGAGAGAGAGAGAGAGAGAGAGAAATATATACGCGATCACCTTGATGATGAGTCGATTTAATAAACTTTTTTTGTTTTTGTTTTCTCGTTAATGACAACTCATTGTTTTCTATTTTTATGTTTTTGGTAACGTAAAATAAATTTTCAGTAAATTCGCCTTGAAAATATTTGAGTTTATCGTTCGACTAAGCAATTTTTTTTTTTTTTTTTTAATCAAAATAACGATTTTATTTATTATTATTATTATTATTTGTTTTAATCGTTGGAAAAGTTTTTAAATTTTTTTTTTTTTTGTTCGACAAGCAAAAATAACGTTGTTGTTGTTGTTGTTGTTGTTCTCGTTGTCGTTGTTTTTGATAAGTCCACGAATTCGAGTTAATTTAACAATATAAATGTAAAAAGCTAACACACATTAATTAATGAGGAAAATAATGATGATGATAATAATATGGTCGTGACGTCATGAGCACGCGTGTGTGCGTGTGTTTTCATTTGATTATAAAAACGGTTTGTTTCGTCGTAATGTTGATTACGTCACAATTTCGATTCTTCAAACGAAGAATTTAATTTTTTTTTTTTTTTTTTTCATGTTGTTGCATTTGTTTTTTTTTTTTTTTTTGTTTTGTTAAGGTGGCGACGTCCTTAACGGAGATGGTACCGGTTCCATAAGTATTTACGGAGATTCTTTCCCAGATGAAAATTTCATTGCGAGACACGAGGGACCCGGTTTTTTGAGCATGGCCAATTCGGGTCCCGATTCTAACGGGAGTCAATTTTTCATAACGACCGCACCTGCTCCCTGGCTCGACGGGGTTCACGTCGTTTTCGGAAAAGTACGTAAAATGATAATGATAATGATAATGTAATCGGACGGTTGACCGATAACGTTTTCCTTTTTTTTTTTTAAATTAAGACAAAATCGATAGAATGTGTTGTTGTTTTTTTTTTTTTTTTTTTTTTGGATAAACGAACGATTATGGTCGTTTTTTTAGGTTTTATCGGGTCAAAGAGTCGTGCACATGATCGAAAGGTTGCCCACCGATTACGAAGATAAACCCTCTCAACCCGTCACCATATTCAAATCGGGATTGCTTAGAACTCCGAATCCATTTTTCGTCACAGACGAAACGTTCAAGTAAATATTAAACAAATAAATAATAATTTATATATAAAAACGAACGAACGGTTGACATACGATCAACGCAAGCTACGCGAACGTCTCTTTTTTTCTTTTTTGGTTGTTAATGGTAATAATAGTAATAATAATGATGAAAATTTATTATTTTTTTTGTGCATGCAGCGGTTGGGAAACGATAAATGCGATCGCGATACCTTTGAGCTTTCCATGTTTAATATTAACTTTTTTCTTTATACTTTATAAAAAATTAGAAATTGTCGAAAAGGATACTTTTAAAACGGATTAAGTAAAAATTTGATGACGTCACTGCCGTCGCCGCCGCCACCACCGCCTCCTATAAAAAATTTTGTCACGAATTTTCCTTTGATTTTTTAAATAAAAAACGTTTTAAAAAAAGGAGAGAAAAAAAAAAATAATTTTTATATTTTTTTTCTTTTTTTTTTTTTTTTTTTTTTTTTTTTACACACGCATTTAATTCACGTAAATCGTTAGATTAGATGATGATGATGATGATGATGATGATGACGTAGGAGTTGATCGATCGATCGAACGATTGGGCGTTCGAACGAACGGACGAACGTAATTTCAATCTAAAATTCCTTTGAGGTAAAATTGCCATTTAATATAAGGATTATAACATTCGACTACGAGGGTTCCCATAAATGAAAAACGTGGATCGATCGTACCCTCTTTGTTTTTCGTTAATTTTTCTAATGGTTTTAACTTTTCCAATCCGATAATTATATCGTATTCCTGTTTAAAAAAAAAAGGGAAAAAATTAAGAAGGTTTCACGTGTTCCCCCTACCTCCCCCTCCCCGTCGGGAAAACTCACAGCTTTGGGTAAAATGTTTTCCTGTGATTTTTTCAAATAAAATGCCGGATTATCAACAAACATGTAAAAATCTTTTGATTTGTTTAAAACGTTTTTAAAATTTATATTAATTTCATGTCCGGGTTTAATCAAATAAGGTCCCTTTGGAATGGGTTTCGTGCAAATTCCAGAAACTGGAAAACTAACGGTTGAAAAAAAAAAAATAATGATAATTTCTTTGTACGAAAATATTAGTTAGGGTGATGAAAGGTTGTGTTAATTACATGAAATTTCCAGCAACTTCGGATTCAACATAAACCGTCGCGATCGTCGTCGTCATATCTGATGGCTCGTATTTAATTGATATTTCCATTTCTTGTTCAGCACCGATTTGTTCAGTTTTATTAACGATGAATTCTTCAGAATCCGTCTGAACAATAATAAAAAAAAAAAAATTAAATCATAAGGCGAAAGGAAAAGGAAAAATGATGATGAGGATGATGGCATTACTTTGCAATTCAATATGGCGTTTGATTTGGCAAAATTTTTTATTTTAATTTTTTGAATTTGAAACGATCCTAAATAAGTTTGAAATAATCTCGTAGGTTCAGGTTGAGGTTCGAATGATATCAGATGAAGTTGACGCGGAAATAATCCGAGTTCGGGACATGTTGCATGCAATTGTTCGATTTCGTCGCTCGGATGAACGGGAGTGAATGAAAATTTTGCGTAAACCTGAAAATAACGAATTTTTAATTGAAAGAAAGAAAAATGGGAGGAGGGGAGGGGGAAAACAGGACACTTGCTTTTTCACCGGGATTCACTTGATAATTATTTTGTTCGAACGATATGTACGGGCTCGTGGATGATAATTTGTAGGTGATTGTTTTTAGAAGGGGATTTTCCAATTTGATTTCTTCGTGACACGTTTGCCTTACGCCACATTTCATCGTGAGAATTTCCAGGGGGCCACATTCGACTATGTTAAATGTGACGTCATACCATTTATATTCATACGTTTCGTTATTGACGAACGTCACCTGAGGGTAAATAAATAAATAAAAATATTTTCGTGGCGGGAGACTTTGGGGTGGAAGTAGGGGGGAAGGGGGGAGGGAAAATTTTTTTTTACTTTGAATTTTAACGTTCCTGGTTTGTAAGAGAAAAAATTTAATTTGTATTCTTTTTCGGCCAAAGGTTGCAAATCAAAATGTTTTAAACCCGAACAATCCCAAGACCGTTCGTCACGTTCTTTTTCCCGTGACGTACATTCAATGTCGACCAATAGCTTTTGGGGTTGTTGTAACCAGTTGCTGATTTTAAGGAGTTCGATAAATTTCGTTTTACTCGGTACTTCTCTGACTATGACGTCTTCCGCGTTGGGGGGAAGCGCAACACCGTTTAACACGTATAACAAACCGAGGCCTTGGGGTAAACAAAAAAAAAGGGATCCCTAAAAAAAAGAAAGAAAATTTAAAAATTGAAAATTTTATATTTTGATTTTGAGTTTCTTATTTCCTCCCGTTTTTCTTTTTTTACTTCGTGATAATTTTTATTCTTTGTCATAAATAATGGAGTATAAGTTATTTCGTATTGTGATTTCGATAATGGCGGCACGATCAACGCATCGTTTCCTTTAAAATATTCACCGGTAAATATAGGTATCAATTGCCATTCGCTTCCGGTTCTGTAATGAAAACAGGAAAATTTAACGGAAAATTTTTTATATAGAATTTTCTCGATTTTTTTTTTTTTTACCGATTTTCTATTTCGATTTCTTTCGTTGTCGTTTCTCTCACGTAACATTCAAATTTTAATATTTGTTGGGGATCCGGTAGTGAAACGCAACTTCCGGTCAACATTAATTCTTTAGAAGGATACGTTTCGTCTTGAGAAAGGTAAAACTGGCAATTTACCTGAAAAAAATGTTTGGATTTGTAAAAGCGATCGATTAGGTTCAGGTTCAGGTTGAGAAAGACAAATTTTGAAAATAAAAAAAAACCTTTTCGATGATGTTTTGTTTTATATGACTTGGAAAAAAAGTGATGGTTATTGTGACGGCTGCATCTGGAGAACAATAACCCGATTCTGGATAAATTTCAAAATCTTTATTTAAATTTTTTGTATCCCATTTAAATCTAAAACAAATTCCAGAGCGTTAAAAAGGAGGGGGGGAGAAAATTTGTGTTTGTTGTTGTCGTCGTCGCCATTTTCCTTACTTTGCTCCCTCGCTTCCAGAATTGATAATTTTTAATTTTAAAACGCTTTTACAATTTTTAACAACGGCTCCAAAATTAATTAGAGTACGATCTAGACATATTTCCGGTCCGATGCAACAACCTTCGATCATGCAAAGGGGTTCTGCTTTATCTTGATGTTGTATCGATACCTACGAACAAAAAAAATCGTACCTGTTTTTAAAAAGAGGTGATTGATCGATTGGTTATCGATCGCCCGGTTAAAAAATTTACCATTTCGGAAAAACGTGAAGAAGTTTTAACTTTTGGAGAAAAGGTAACGGTGACGTCGAACGTTTCCTGCGGTTTCATTTTGAATAGAGTCGATGGGGAAATTGTTAATACGTCGGACAAACGATGATCCACTGATAAATCAATAAAATTTTCATCGGATTTTGCCATGTACGAACCGGAAACGGGTAATTGATCGGAAAAACCGACGAGAACGTTTGCCGAAGCCAAACTTTTATTTATCAATGAAAATTTTCTTTTAACGTTTTTCCCCGCTTTAACGGCTCCCAATGAAATTATTGCATCTTCCGTATCTTTGAGTTCGACCTTTTTTAAAAAATGGATGGGTCACGAAAAAAAAAGGTAAAAGGTAAAAGGTTTCAAAGGAAAGTGTGACTTACTTTAAATTTCGTTCCCTGTCCTTTGAGTCTTATCAAACGTTCGTGAAAACTATTTATGACGATTTTAAATTTTTCATCGTAAACTATTAATTTCGTTGGATGAAAATAAAATAAAATTTTTATTTTTTCATTTGGTTTTATCGTCGGATATGGTAGGGAAAATGTAAACGCATTTGATTCCGTTAAAAAAAAACATTCCAATCTGGAAAATTAGGAAAAACGAAAGGGATGGGTGGAAAATAAGAAAAGAAAATTCAGAATCGTTAAAAAAGAAATTTTTTTCATTATGAGTTTAAAGGAAAAAAAATTTTTTGTTACAAACGTTAAATCTATAACGTCTTTGTTTTGAATAAACAATGGAACCTGATAATAACAGGTATCTCTTTCTTGTAAGAAACAATAACCGAAATCGTAGGTCGTGAATGAAAATTCGTAGGTCGGAGTCGTCGCGCACGCATTTATTAAAAAATTAAACGATGGTCCTTTGCTTATCTGGAAAAATATTCATCATATCGGTGTTGGAAAATTTTTTTTCCGGGTTTGGTAATGGAGTGTCATAATCATCATCATCTCACTTTTAATTTCAATGGAAAATTAATGAGGGATGATTTTTTAAAAAAAACCAAACTCAAAATGCATTTCCCTTTTGAAAATGATAAAACGTGTCCATTTTTAGGTGATAATTTTATCCTACAACTGTGTGATTCCAGAATTTTTTTATCGTATATCCAGTCGTAGTAAAATAATATTTTGGATACGCTTGTCAAAACGAAAGTTATGGATTCTGGACGATTCGGAGTTAGCTGAAAGAAAGAGAGAGAGAGAGAGAGAGAGAAAAGGATCGTGAGTTTTTCCAGGAAGTTTTCGAAACTTTTTTTTTTTTTTTTTTTTAAAAAGGAAAAAAACCTCGGCTCCAAAATCGATGACGTTATTTTTTTTCGTATTGACACGATGTTTAACATTATTAAAATCTTCGAAAAAAACGATGGGTTTAACAACGTAAACCATGGCTTCGACGGCAACGGTAAAAATTTCCTTTATTCCTTTGACTTTACATTTTAAATAAAAAATATTTTTCCCACCGGTTTTTCCAGTAAATGAAATTCTAAAAATAGAAAAGTCACGTGGTTTTAACGTAGGATTCGGTTCAAAAAAAAAAAGGTTTATTCGTTCATATACTTTATATTCAATTCGGAATGTTGTGATATTTTTCCAGACATGGGTTCGACGGTTAAATAATTGGTTCTTCCTTCCGAATATATGGAATCGTTTAAAAAATGAAAATCGAACGAAGAATTTTCATTATTGACCAATGTGAGAAAATCATCGGATGTCGAACCGATAAATGTTGATTTTAAAACGACGTGAGATGATAGAAAATACACGGAAGGTTCTCGAACGTCTGTAACGATTAAAAATAAAGTTTCGACTTCGTGTTCTGGAATTTTAAATTTCCAAAACGATTCGAATAATCCGATTTTTTGCGACACGAAATTAAAATGCATTTGCTGTTGTCGTCCCGCTTGAATTCTACCATCGCTTGTCAGACAGTAAAATGTTTGTATCGAATCCGGTTGGATTTGTGTTGAATTTATCCAGGAAAATGTATAATCGTTTTCCGTCGGATTTATGACGTAAAATTTTCTGGAAAATTTTATATATATAATCAATTGCAATCCCTTTTTTTAAGGAGAAAAAGTTATCTGTGCATTATTATTTACATGGGAACCGTGTGTCCAATTCCTAAAACTTTGACTTCTATCGTTTTCGTATCAGGATCCAAAGGTAAACCTGGAGCGCAACCTATTGGTCCAGGCCTGGAAAAATCTCGTCTTCCACTTTCGAGATAATCGCTTTCTGGTACGTTAAAATGACAATAGGGCATCGTCGAGGATGCTTCTAATATTATTTCAGGTACTTTACAATCGGGATGAAGGCTGGGAATTCTGGAAAAAAAATTTAAATTTAACTCGTGTTGTTTCGTTTTGGAAACGTTTTTATCACTCACTGCATTTTCAATATGGCGGTGTATTCGTTAACGTCCATCGGTGAGAAAACGATGTTGAAATTCGTTTTATTTCTCGGTGGTATTAATCCGTAGGAATTTTCCAGCGCGAACGGATTGTACGGACAGGGTTTTAAATCTTCCACTATTTTCATCTCATTTTTATTTTCACTTTTCAAATCCATGAGGGATGCTTTCGGTGGAAAATAATCCAATCGATTGATTAATGACTTTATTAACGCTCAAGCAGACGAATTATAAAAAAAATTAAAGAAATTTTTTACCACTGGACAAAGGTCTCGGTTTATTAATACTTCTACTGGATAAACAATTTCTAATTGTTTGAATCGGACTCGTTGAAGGTTTTTCCAGCGACGAAATAATTTTTTTCTCTTCTTCTTCCATTTTATTATTTTTCAACGGCCGCGTTTTCACCGACGTGACGGTTAATTTATATTCTAATGTCACGTTACCGTAATTTTCTAACGTCACGGTTTGTATGCGAGTCTGGAAAATTTATATTTTTAGTTGATTTTTCTGTTAACGCGATTGAAATTTCAGGTATTACCTGAAACATGAACGTATTTTTAAATATGACGTGTGTCGTTTCGCAATACAAACGAGCATAATCCGCATTTCCGGATAAGCTCAATGCTAAAACTCTCGTCGTTTCCGGAATTATTTCGTGTGGTGGCTCTTCTTCGTTCGTATTTTGTTTTTCATTGCGATGAGCGGAAGTGCTGAGAAAATAACGACGCCATTATCATTTCCGGTCGATAAATATGAAAAAATGAGACACTGATAGATCGTACCTTACTTCCAAATTTATTTTTTCATTTGGACCCGATAAATCAAATTTTTTTTTTTTCAAAATTTTTTTACGTGATAATCTTGAATCCCACGATAGATTCGGTAACGATTCGAATAATATTTTATTTAAGGTACAATTTAACAATACCTGAATTATAAATGATTACGTAATGTCTCGTATTTTATTTAGAAAAAGAAACAGAAAACAAAATTCATTACGTCATCTAATTCCACGGGTTCATCCGGTGAAAAAATTATTAAAATTTCTTTAAACGAATTGGGATACAAAAATCCTTTCGAGGGGGATACGATTATGTTTTGAATTTCATCCCAATCAAATTTAAAATAATCCTTATCGGTTTTATTTGATAACCTTAGTAGTACTCTTGATTTTTTTTTAACGAAACAATCATTGAACGTGAGGGAATAATGTCCGGGAGAAGTACAAACGGATGACCTGGAAGAAAAAAGGTTCGATTAATCGATCAACCGGAAGTAAATTTTTTTTTTAATAAATATTAGAGATTTTAATTTACGTCGAATCGAAATCGTTTTCGTTTGCGAAAGGAATGGATTTGCGAATTTTTTCAATGATGACATCATCGAAAAAACCATCTCCGGTTAATTTATAAGTTAAATTTTCAAATGGATTATCGATGGAAAATAATTTAATTTTAGACGAATAAGTTTTCACTTCTTTCGGTGTGAACGATACCATAAATTCGACGACGTCACCAGGTTTCGTTGATACTATCACGGTGTGATCAATGGGTTCTGTAAAAAAAAAATGGCGCGATTAATTTAAATCAATTTTTTTTTTTTCGAAAAAAAAAATGAAAATCCTTACTTTTCGTTTCCCACGCTTTTAACATTTCTTTTGTTTTTTCCGTTGGTATCAAAGTGTAAACTTTATCTTCGTTATTATACATTTCAACCACGACCTGACACAAATTTATTCAATTTTTTTAATTATCAGGTATTATTTTTTATAATAAGATAAATTTTCTCCAGTTTAAAAAAAAAAAATTTACCTTACAAGATAAAATTCCAGAATTTGTAAATGAAATGAGCGTTTTGGAATTTTGATTTGGATTTATTGGTAAAAAATTAACAAGAGTCGAACCGTCTGGTAATTTCGTTCCAGGTTCGACGATTTCAATTTGTGGTAAAACTCCATTCCCGTATAAATTGAATATTTTAATTTTATCACCGATATTTCGCGGCATTTCTAACGTTATCATCAATTGTCCCGTGTATTCCTGTTTAAAAAAAAAAAATTTATTTATTTAAATTATTTATTTATTTTAATGTTAACAGAGTTTGAAACTCACTTGTATGGCTTCGGGTCGAAATGTTATTGTCAAAGTACCAAAATTATAAGGTTCGATGATTAATTCTTTTGGTGACAAGGTGAATATTTCAGGTTCGGCACTTTCGTTTTCTTTCCTATTTGTTTCTGTTAGGTTGGCAAACACGTGATTCTCGATAAATCCAAGGTTTTGTAAATGTATTCGTGCTTCCATTGTTTTACACAGGCAAGCGTTTTTAAACGAAAACAAATTTTCCTCTTCTGTAAATATTGTATACGATTCAAACTGCGGGGGGGAGGGGGGAAGGAGAGGGGGAAAGAAAAAGAAGAAGAAAAAACGTATAAATTGTTTATTATTATACATCGATGAATTTTTTTTTTTTTTAAATAAATTTACCTTGGTCGAACAATTAAAATCGGATTCTTTTTTTACGATGAAATGTTCTCTAAACGTAACCTTATGATTGTCGAAATCAATGTCAGGTACGCAACCTTCACCTTTTAAAATAACATTATTTACGTTTTCCAAAGCAGACGGACTTTGCGTGAATTTAATAGTTACATTTTCTTCGAAAATTTTCGCTTCTTTCGGACTAAAAGTCACTTGAACCTCAAAAGATTCTCCGACTTCGATGATTCCACTCGGTGGGAAAATTTCAAAAGGGCCAAAATTTACAGGTACTAAGGATTTTTTCACTTTGTCTTCGAGTCCTTTGGATGATGCCGTTGGTTTTGTTGGTTTTTTAACTTTGTTATCAACCGTTTCCAAAGTCCCATCTTTAACTTCAAACGTGAATGATAAAGGAAAGTATCCGTTATTTGTAAAATGTAAAATTTCCGTAATTGTAAAATCCACTTTATAATAACCAAAATTAAATTCCGGGTAAGGACTTATTTTGTAACTGGAAAAAAAAAAAAAAAAACAACCTCTTATTTTTATAATTATTATTATTTTTAATGTAATCATAATCAATTTTTTTTAAAACTTGAAACCTCCTGTTTGTTTTTACCTCGGCAAATGAGAATTTAAAGAAACGCAAATCGGTATTTTTGCGATCAATTCATTTCCTTTATTAGGTTCTAAAACAATTATGCTAAATAAATTTTCTCTTTTCCATTCGATTTCTTTTTTAAGGTTGATACAAAAGGTTACGGAAATAGATTTCTCAGGCATTATTTTTCCTTCAGTCGGCGTAACAGACAAATAATCGTCTTTTAACACGAAAAACAAATCTTCATCTATGTGTATCCTAAATCACCGAATTTTCACCGAAAATAAAAATGAAAAATATTTTTTTTGTTTTTAATTTATTCCTTTTTTTTTTTTATTAACGGGTTTAAAAAAATTATTTATTACATGTAATCCAAAACGTATTTTCCAGCATTTTTCAATTGTAATATTTCCGTGCAATCGGAATGAGCACGTATATTTCCTAAATCAATGTGATCGGAATTTTTTTTAGAAAAAATTATGTCGAGAGCAACATCGTATGCTTCAACACTAAATGGTAAAATTATTTGTTGTAATAAAATATTAGAGGTCGGTTCGTTAAAAACCTTACGGAAAAAAAAAAAAAAAGAAAAAAATTATTAACGTTAATTGTTTTATCAGGTGATTAGAAATCGAGGAGTCTTTTAGATTAACTTACTTCAATCAAAAGAGGTTCGTTTACTAAAGTTTGAACTTCGGTAGCGCTATAATAAATTTCAATTGTACGATTACCTCCTGGTGATAGGAAACAGTGAGTCATTGAAAATTCAAAATTATGTTCCAATTTTCTAAAATCCGATAGTTTAACATAAAGTGGAATTAATGTTTCATTAATTAAAACAATCTGACGATAACTCCGTCTATGTAGTAATATTTTATCAAAATTAATAGATTTAGGCTCGACTCTTATACTAGGTTTAACTCCTTCAAATTTTACCTAAAAATATTTTCATTTCGTTTTTTTTTCCCTTCGTATGTAATTGAGTATGATTGATTGTTTTTTTCTTCTGCTTCTACTTACGGTAATTTTTTCTATTTTGGGATTATTTTTAACGGCAAATAATAAATTTTCAACGACGGGACCAACTTTATTGGGTCGTGCCGTCACGCCTAATTTTTTAGATTCTTGAGGAAGTAAAACTAGAGTGTTTGTATCGATTTGCAAATGAGGCCATTTAACATTAGTTTCTGACGAATTATCATCGTTTAAAATAATTTCTAAATAAACCGGATGCAACGATATGTTTTTTATTGTAAATTCTGTTTTTTTTTCAAAAACTATGCTGTCGAAATCAAGGGGAAAAAAAAAAAAAAAAAAAAAAGTAAATATCATTAGTTCCGATTAATCCTCTTCGGTGCATCTATCATTCTTCGTGTAGAGTTTTTTTTTTTTTTTTACCAATCATTAAAAGTTTGAAGAAAAATAATTTGTCCGAAATTAAATGCGTCCTCGTTGTAAAAATAAGCGCAAAAAACGGGTTCGAGAACGGGAGGGATTTCGTAGACCAATGGAAAAATAACTTCCGGTGTCATGTCGATTCGGGGAATCTCACATATTCCCTTACAGGAAACGACGTATTTAGTATCCCAGTTAACTAAACTTATCCAATATTCTTCTTCCGTTACACCAACTTCTTCCGGAAAATATTTCACGCGACAGGTAATAATATCACCCGGTTGAAGTACCCAACGACTTTTAAATACACTACCTACAAAAAAAAAAAAAAAAAAAATTTAATTTGGAATTAGAATTTAAATTTAAATTTACGTATATATATATATATGGCGGCGGAAATAAAAGAATGAAATCTCACTTTCAATTTTCGAACTTATATTTCTTTGACTTAAACTTTTGCTCCCCATTGAATTTCTCGTTTCTAATTTTCTTTGTTTCAATGATCCGCTTCCTTTTTTTTTATTTCTAACACTCATTTGTGATGCTGATCTCGCCGTTATTTGCTAGTAACAATAAAAAAAAGGGTAAAAGGGTAAAAGGTTAAAGGTCAAACAAATAAATGAGGGAAACGGGGGGAAAAAAAAAAAAATGATACCGTCGAAGCCAAAGGTATTTCCATTAAAGTTGTTAAAGAGTCTTCAATATTTATACTTTCTGTGACGTTCGGTTCGGCTATGGCCATTGTAAAAATCGGAGTCAAAATCGGTCTGTTTCTTAATTGCGGACAATGAACGACAGCAAAATCAAGGCCATCTGTTTTTGCCAAAGGCCACGAATCCGATTCTTCAGGTACGTAACGTTGTTCGAGAACGGTTTTTAAATGACAGCAAACTCTCGAAAATAAATTTTTTTCCGGCCTTGATAAATCAACCATCCACAAGTGGATTCCTTTTGGGGGATTTTCAAATTTTGCCGATATGCTCTTGAAAAAAAAAGGGGGGGGGGAAAATTATCGATTTAAAAAGAAAATAAATTTAAAAATTAGATGGAAAGAGAAAAAGGAAAAAGGTAGGATTAGAAGGAAAAGGAGAAGAAAAATCTTACGTCAGAAATTTTAGACATTTTTTTAATACTTTTATTATCTGGAATATTATCGGCCTGGAAAAAAAACACGATGTTTGTACTAATTATTATTATTATTATTATTATTATCATTATCCGGATTTTGATGAATATATATTTATTGAATTGAAACGCACAATCGGTGACGTAATTCTTTGATCCCAATTTTCAATGAGAAATTTTATTTCGGAAAGTTCTTGATTGAAATCGATGAAATCGTTTTCTAGAGCATCTTTTCTATTTTTATCTAAAAATTTAATTTAATTAAAAAAAAAAAAAATGTCGGTAACGATCGAGTATATAAGAATTAAATTTTTCTTATTGTAAATCAAACACTCGTACTTGATTTTTCTTCACTTTCGACTCTTGATGATTCGTCTCGAGCTTTTCCAGATTTTTCCAGATTTTTCTTTTTTTCCGCAGTTCCTTTACCTTTATTAAATTGATTATTGTTTTCCTTTTTATTTGCATAATCGAAACCCTTTCGAAATCGATAATGGAGGTTTAAAATTCAATTATTAATATTAACAAATTTTTTTTTTTATTGAGATTTTAACTCACGTCATTTTTATTTTTTTTAAAAAAATTATCGTAAAAAATTTTTTTTTTCTCATTGAAAATTTTAAATGATTCATGACGTCGATTTAAAAAAGTCGTTATTCCCAATTCGATTTCATCTTCCGTTAAATATTTGTCTTCGTATGGTAAAAATCTAGGCGGTTTTATTTCTTCTTCACCTTCTTCTTCTAATATACACTGTAACTTTTTTTGAAATTCGAGTTTTTCATTTTCTGTAAAAATTTAAAGGTTTTACTGGTGACATGACGGAAAAGAAAATTTTAAATAATACCTTTTTCCAATTGAACTTTAAGAATGTTGCTATTGTGTTGAAAATAATTATTTAGTAAAATAACAACAATTATATCCGCAACGTTTCCTGCTGCTTCTAACAATGTAATCAATGCTGTCGTTGGAGTAGGAAAAAAAATACTGTTTAAATCTTGTATAACAATTCCTTTCGGCAATTCGATAGACAACCTGAAAATAAAAAACAATTCGTTATTTTTGTGGCTAAAAAAAAAAAAATAAGGTTTCTGATGATACGTACCTGAATTTTAATATTTCTGCAATCAATTCTCCAGGTATGTCAATCAAAGGTTCGTACACTATGGCAGGTTTTAAAAAAATACTTTTGTCCTTTCTCGAACTTTCACTTTTTATGCTGTGACTTCTAGCCGATGTCATTTTATTATCCGCCTGTGGTTTTCTATTTAATTTAAAATAATTTAAATTTAATAAATTATTTATTATTATTATTATTAATTACGTATCGAATAACGAACGTACTTTAAAGCAGCAATCGCTTCGAATTTTTCTAAAAGTTCTTCGTAAGTTTTATTACCCGAATCAATTTCCGATTCTTCTTCGCATTTAGACGTTGTATCCGATTTTGGATCAAGGTACGTGTGATAGGCTTCTTCGATTAATTGTTTTGCTGTGATTCCAGCCTTACAACGACCTAAAGCAGCTTCTTCGACAATTAACTGATCGATTCCTTTAGCCTTGAAAAAAAAATAAGAGAGAGAGAGAGAGAGAGAGAGAGAGAGAGGAAGAATTTTTTGTGTGTTTAACATTTTTGTAACTTGATATATACCTTCAAATTTGCTGTCAAGGCGGCTTGATTAGACAGCTGAGTACAATTTGTAAATGGAGCCCCGTGAAATATGATGAGTAAACCTTGAGTATATTCTTCTGTCGGAGGAGGTGGAACAATTGCTTTGATTGCAGATTGAATGGGATCATGTTTAAGCTCTGATTTTGTAAGGGTTTTTATGTATTCTATGCAACAACAACAACAACAACAACAAAATTTTTAGAATGTTTTAGAATGTTTTTGACAAATTCGAGAATTATCCATGTGCGTGTACACGACTAACTTTGTAACAATTCTTCTATTTCAGCAGAAGTTTTAGCTTGAAATAATGTTTGTATACTGCCATCCATATTATCAGGAATGGTGAGTCTACTCGAAATGAAACTCATACGTTGTTTCGAATTAGATTTCGAAGTGCTGAATAATTTTTTTTTTTCGTTATTTGAAAATTGACTGGAAGTTTTGGGCGTGTCGTAAATTGGAACATCGGAATTTGTGGGTATCAAATAAGAATTTTCCTCGCTCGGAGGAATCGCCGGTAATTCGTCGTCTCCTTGAAAATGATTATTTAAATTTTCCAACAGCGTTTGATAAAAATTAATTAATTCAATGGGTAAACCTTCTCCCGGTTTTCGTATGGGTAATAAAATTTCTGGAGTTTGATAATAAGCACAAACGGCTCTTAAAATTTTATCTTCTTCGAAAATTTGCCTGGGTGAAAATTTCAACAAAAAAAAGAAAATTATTTGGTTTTTCCTTTTTTACGAGAGTGAACGCAGCATACACTTACTCGTCGTATGCTGGAAAATAAATTTCGATCGGAAAATCGCATGGATTTTCAATAGTGAAATATTTTTCCGATTTATTCGGATATGGTATTATAGGTCCGAATAAAAATTTTTTGTCCGATATTTTCAATTTAGGTTCGACTCCTTTTCCAAACGCATCGATTTTTAAATCGTTTAAACCTTCCGATGTTTGTACGAGTATGAGCGATTGAAATTCTTGCTGATTTTATAAAAATAATTTTGATTTATGAGGTTGTCAAAAGTCATGAAATTTATTTTGTTTTAATGATAATAATGATAATAATAAAGAATTAATTTTACCTCACCGTCTGGTCTAAATGACACTTGTACCGTATTATATTCGTTTGGATAAATAACTCCAGAATTACGATTCACGTTAAATATTCTCGTTTCGCTTACGTAATTGTTAGTCGAACGTAAATAAACTTCCGAGTTTTTTTTAAAAACTGATATGGACCAAAATGCTGGAACTAATCCTCTGTAACCAATATTTAAACATTTTTTTCTAAAAAAAAATATATATTTTCACAAGAGGGGTGGGGCGCGGCGTGTTTTTCGACTTACGGATTTTTAAGTCTTAAATTAAGTACTCTGCAACATCCGCATTCGACTATACCAAAATTTATTGCATACAACGATGGTGTTATGTGGGGATACGTGACGGTTGCGGTGATTTTTATAGGTATGATAGGTCCGTAGTAAACCTTAAAAAAAAAAAAAAGGCACGAGTAAAAGTTGATTGTCCTCGTAAAAAAAAAAAAAAAAAAATTTCTTATCCAACCTCTAAATAAAAAAATTTTTCTATATTTATTATTATATCCGGATACATTGATTTTTTTGGCGCGAATTTTAACGCAATTGAAAATTTATTTCCGGTTGAAATCTCGCGACGATTTCGGAGTTTTAATGTCAGACCACATTCTTTCAAATCTGAATCTATTTTTGAATAAATGACGGCAGGAAAAGGACCGAAATTTGATATTTCAATGATTTCATCTACGATTCGTCCGACTATGACGACGTTCAAATCTAAAATTTGACGTATCAATTATTATTATTATTATTAATTTGATGATGTGCATGTAAGTCTTTCGTGAGAAAGGTTTTTACAAAGCTCTTCTTACTTTTTTCATATTCTGGTACAATAAAATCGGGAATACTTCTGACAAACATTCCAGCGTTCGGTTTGTTATCTTGCTTGATCAATGTCGAAATCAAGGCTCTTTCAATGGCAAGTTCAAGATCAATGGCGGGTGGTAAACCGTTCTCCTTAAAAAAAAAAAAAAAAAAAAATTAAATAAATTACGGAAAATTTTTTTTCCCCTTTTTTCCCTAACGTTATGTTTTAAGGAAATACTTTTTCTCCAACAATTTCCCAATCTGATTCGGAATCATTTGAATCTTCGCAACTTAAAAAATTACTTATTTGACTTTCTTGACTTCTGTAGGGTTTAACGTCGGGTATTTCGCCGCATGAAAAATTTGATTTCGAACTAAGGTACCAATCGGGAGTGATGTTAGACACTGAAAAATATGCTATTTCCGGGGGTACTTTTGCCAAAGCCGGCCTTGGTAGATGAATATATACTTGTGGAAAAGTCGCTTCACCGTAAATTGTTATAATTTCTAAATCTAAACAGTCTAACTAAAAAAAAAGAAAAATCCGTAAAAATTTATTATGAATATGTACGGCGGGTAGTGGCGAATAAACACGTACTCACTTGAATAGTAAATTTTTTTTTAAAAAATCCTGGATATCTTTGCTGATAGGTTATTTTTATATCAACTTCAGAAAATGGAGAGATTGTTCCTACCAATGGATTAACGATTACTCTTCCATAATTTTGATCGCATTCTTTCGAAATGGGTAAAAAATCCTCATTAACTTCGAAATCGATGGGCATGTTTCCATGATTGCTAATTTTTAAAGTTTTACTTTCCGGCCTGTAAAACAACTGAAACATATTTTTTTGCTGTCGTTAAAACATGTCCTCATCGTTAAAATTTTAATTTAACTAAAAATTTAATGGAATTTACTCTTTTTTTAAAATTTATTTCGTTGTTTTCGATTTTATAACGTAAAAAACTTGACGAAGCGTTTATTTTAATGGTTTCTGTCGGTCCCGATTTTATTTGTACTTTTGCTTCGATGTGATAATTTGCGATAACGTTCGGGCAAAAGGTAACCAATAAAACTTGAGATGAAAATTTTTCTAATTTTCCTTTAAATGGTATTATATCGCACACCTAAAACAAAAATTTTTTAATCGTTAGAGGATAGTCACGAGGAAAATTAAAAAAAATGGAATAACTTTATTATTATGATGTTACTCTTATGCATTCTGGAAGATTTCTTCCTTCGTCATCCGTATCGGAAGATCTCGTTGTTCTGTACGCATTTGTAAGCTCTTGATCGTATTTATATAAATTTCTCGTCAGGGGAAAAATATTATTTTTAATGTCGGTTTTACTAATTTTTATTCTCGATAATCTCAATCGTAATTCATTATTTTTATTCGGATCGCTGTTTACGACCGAATCCTAAAATTAAAAAAAAAAAAAAACAAAATGATTGATATTTACATTTGATAGGTAGCGATTGTTTACAAAAATTTGGTTTTTCTTTTAAAAAAAAAATTTCTTACTTCGTTTGAAAAAAATTCACAACTTGTTTCGCCGAAAATTTCCGAATAGTTTTCTTCTTCCGTACCTTCATATTCGATTAAATTTTTCGAAATGATATTCGGGCATTCGATATTACATTTTTCGACATTCCAAGCAATGTGATAATACACCGTTAATGGACTTACGTTCACTATGTATATTTCCTGACAATAGTTGGCAGAAAGTGGAACGTATTTAAAATCGACTACTTTTGGTAACAAAAACACATTTGGATAATTAACTTCACCCGTTAGAGGAATTTCAAACTGAAAATAACACGTTGTTAAGTTTTGTCATCAACATCGTAGGTAACACACACGCAAACAGAAACAATAAAAAACCTTTTTGAAATGTTCTAGAAAAGTGACTTTTAATGGTTCCGAATAAGTACGAGATAAAAATTTTGAATTCATTTGCGGTTCAAAAACTATTTTTAATGTTTGCTTTTCCTGACTATTTAAATAAAGTTCTAAAGAATCCGTTAATGAATCGTCGTTCATGTTTATTCGAAAATGATGCGCAATGAATATGTTCATACATAACGGAAGTTCAGACAAATTTTTTATTTGAATTTTATCTGGAAATAAATAAATAAAGGGGTTTTGATGTTTCAACACGCGAAAAAAAAATAAAAATTTTCTGAATACATAGGTTTTAATTATAAACCTTCCAAGTGTTTTTCGATTCCGTCGAATCCGACATTATACCAAAATTGTAATTTATTTTTGTCAAAATCAATTAATGGTTCGACAAATTTAGCCGAGATGACACTCGTAAAAAGTAATTCTCTTATCGATAACGCAATCGATGCAAAACAATAAAATTTTTGTTCGAAATAACCCAATGATGAACTTTGTGCTATTAAATACATTTTTACACATTGTCCAGGTAATATGTCGGCTTTGGGTGGTTCCAAAATAAATTGAAAACTGGAATAAATTACAATTTTTTTTTAATGGAAAAATAATTTAAAATAAAAAAGTAAAATATAAATTTACTCTGGAGGATATATATATTTTTTGCTTATAAACTCTGATAATTCTTCGTAAGGAGACCATATCAAACTATAAGGTTTCACACCTCTATTTTCTACTAAAATTTCAAATTCGTATTTTCTTCGACTGAAACACATAAAAAAAAATGTCTGTGTATTTTTCCCTTTAATGATAATAATAATAATAGTGAAATGAAAATTTTTTTTTTTTTTTTTTTTTTGGTTTACTCTTTACCTGAAAAGAGTTCCGATTTCGTGTGCGGGAGTTAATTTCGGTGTCATCGCCAAACTACTTCCAATTCCAAAAGCGCTCAAAGATATACTTGAAATTTTTCCATTGTGAACAGATACCTTAAGAGTATCTTTAAATTTTCCTCTGTCATTTAAAAATAAATCGATCGGTATTGATATAACTTCAGCTGATGCAAGAGTGAAGGTGGAGGGTGTTACACTCCAGGGTGAATCTCCTTTAACCTTTGGAAAAATTAATGATTTTAGTAATGATCGGTTAATTTTGTTTAACTTTTAGTAAATGATTCTTACTAAATAAATTTGAACCGAAGCCGGGATTGGGGAGTCGTTTGAAAAATCTAAAAATTTTCGACTTTGTTCCAATAGGGGAATTTCTCCCCAATTTAAACTGTTTGCCGAAAACGTTACAACGGGTCCTTGTCCTGTGCAATATATTTTACTAACTTCGTGATATCTGTCGTTTCCAAAAACTAATATGCTTGAAATTTTAAATTAAAAAATTACAAAAAAAAAAAAAAATTATGTTTGGTCTCGACAAAAAGTTATGATTTACTTTATCGGTATTTCTTGCCATCCAACAGCGCTTGTTATGATCGTGATATCGACTTTTATAGTTTCACGTGGTTGTATAATACCTTGAGGTATATTAGCAGAATATGTTACATTTTCTTCTAAAAAAGGCTTCAAAAAGAATAAAAAGTAAAGGTGTAAGACTATAAATTTTTAATAAGGAATGTTTTTTTCTATTTTCAAATAGTTCTTACATCCAAAGGAACAATGTAGAAAAATCCAGAAACTTTTGAAACGTTTGTCAGTGCTAAGGTTCTGGTATATGGAAAATTTACAAAACAAAAAGGTATATTTATAGATTCGGGAAGGACTTTAATGGTTGCAATTACACAACGATAAGTTATAGGACAAGTAACTGAACCCGTTTCTGAATCCCACATATTCATTTTCAAATGAGTACTAAATGCTCCTGATTTATTAGCCGTTAATGTTAACTGTGAAACGATAAAAAAAAAGTAATTATAAAATGATAAAAAAATTTGTTTTTTTAAAATTTATTTATTTAAAATTTTTAAATCACCGTGACTTTTTTACACGAAAATGGTTCTACGACGCTTTCTCGTGGTTCAATTTGAAATTCTTTCGGAAAATCGGATACTGACGGTTTAATTTTAGCCGAAGCAAAAGTATTATAGGAAATGCTGGGATACCTTCCATCGGATAGTACAACTAATGAAAATGTTACAGGTACTACTGAAAGGTTTGAAATTGTAACTTCTCGCACCGTTGGTGTGCCTGTGTTTATTAAAAAAACTACATAAGTCGTATACAATATTGGATATTCAATATTCGCATTGATAAACGATCATAAATGATTTTACCGAAAGGTACGGTTTCAAAATTAATTCCACGTTTGTCGAAATGCAATACAGGATTTACAACTTTACCAGTCAATACGAATGTAACTGGTTCTTCTGATTCGGCAATTATAAACGTTAATTTTTCAAGAAATTCTCCATTTTTATTACTCGTAAATGTCACTAAAAATCCACCACATTCTTCTGGATTTAAATACCTCGAATGCGGTGTCACTTCTAATTTTCCACCGAAAATTGTGTTTTCTTCTTTGTAATCGATTCGTCCAGGAATGTCTCCTTTATTAACGGCTATTATCTGCAATTAACAAAATTTTACAAGTAATACCTTTCACAAAAAATAAAATGACGTCATGTAAAAATAATTCTTGCCTCGTACGTATGACTCGAACATAAATAAACATAATCAATATCTAATGTTGATGGTGATACAATTATTTTCGGTCCCAAACCTTGTCCTTTTAATTGTAAAGATAATCTATTTTCACGTCCAGAAACTTCCAAATAAGCTTCTGCTGTAAAAAATTTGCATTCTTTTGGTTCAAATGTAACCGTTACTTCCACGTGACTTCTTGGCCAAATTTCACCTTTCTGTCATTAAACGCAAAAAAATATAAATCGTTATTACGAGGAAAAAAAGAAGAAAAATGATTTATAAAAAATTTTACCAATGGTGTTATTTTAAAAGCTTTATTTGTAAAACTAAATTCTTCTTTCTCTAATATGAGACATTCATCTTGTAATATTCTTTCACATAAAAGTTTATGCCTTTCAGCATCTCCTAAATTAAAAAATTGCGTTTTTGTATCTTTAATTATTTCTAATTCTGCTATATCCGAATATTTTTCTCTCAAACTGAAATGAATTGAATTTTTCTACTTATTACCATCATAATTAATTATAAGGGGTTTACATTTTGTCAATGTTTTTGTATAAATTCAGGTTCGAAAAAAAAAAATGTCTTACTTTTCTATCATGGTTTTATCATCTTCTAAAAATTTATTTTTTTTCCATGAATATTTTACAACGCTAGAACTATTATTGAATAAACGTACAGTTTTACATCTTTTTAAACCGTGAAACGTATCCTCGTACATTAATGAATTTTTTTCTAAACGTATGCTAGCATTTTCTGCCGATCCGTGAAGCATAACGGTTAATTTTTCTCCCGTTTCTAAAATAAGATAGAGTTTACTGGTCACTTCGCCAAGTTTAGCTGATTCAAATGTAACATTTAACAAAAGTGATTCTTGAACGTTTAAAAATCCTTTAACGGGATTTACTTTGAATGGACTGGAAAAAAAAAATTTTTATTAATAATATATTTACAATAGTTTTGTTTGGATTAATAAATTGGAAACGATTGAGAGAAAAATTACCTTTTGGTGATGAAATGAAAAGATGCAGGTACCTCGCCAATGTTACGAATTACCAAACATTTTTCACCGGCTAGTTTAATTGGAGAAGGATTGACGGTTATTTGATTTGGTATGTCTAAAATTGCTCTTGGTCCAATGGCTGAACAAATAAATCATAATTAATTTATTATTTTTTATTATTCACACATTATCAAACTAACTTATTAGGTATAATTTTCACTGGCATACCTACAATGGGTACTGTGAAATTTTCATTTTTGCATCTGAATTCAAGAGAATGACTGTAATCAATTTTTTCATTTGGGGTGAACGTTATCTTATATTCTGCTGCCAAACCGGGTGCCAATTTATGAATCGGTGTTCCCGCAGGAACTGCAGAAAAGTATAGGGATGGCGGACAGTTTATTTGTATTGGCAAAGATGTCTACAAAGAGAGAAAAGTACAAAACTTTAAATGAAAGGTTTTACATATATTTTTCCTTTACAAAAAAATTTTTGTTTTTTTTTTTTTTTAAATTAAAAAATGAGACTTACATTTCCAACGTTTCTTATTTGTAAAATTACACTTATTGTTGATCTATTTTCAAATTTTTGAAAAACAACTATCTGTGGTATAATTCTCAATTGTTTTGGATAATTATTTTTAAAAACGGCTTTATTATTTGGAATGGATTGCAGGAACTTATGCCTTTCTTCGGTTGTTAAATTCATTTCTTTATTAAACTCTGATGGAGTCAACTAAAAGAATTTTAAATTTCAATAATATTATTTTTAAACGGTAAAAATGTTTCTCTGTATTTAATGTTACCATAAAGTTTTCTTTTTCAACGTTTAAAATATTTGGTAATAATTCCATGCAATTATTGCTTTTCACAATTGGAAGCAAACTATTTTTATTTATTTCTTCATCCATATTTAATTTATTTGTTATATATATTTATATATATATTAATTAATAAAAATTGACTTGTAACTATTTATTTCAAACACTGTCATATTTAAGTTTTTTTTTTTTTTTTTTTTAATAAGATTTATTTAACACCAGAATAAATCAAAGCAATGCCTCCATTTTTATTCATAAAATTTTTTTAAAAAAGCTTAATTTTTAAAATAAATACAAAGAAATTAGAAAATTACCTTCGTTAAAAATAAATTTTTCAAATGATTTGCATCAAAATTAATTTTTTAACTTCAAAAATAGCATTTAATGTAAATTTAATTTTAAAAAAATTAAACGATTCGTTTTTGATTGTTCACAGTTACCATTTTGGCGCTCAAGTAAAAATGAAACTTTTGACGTTCAGAATATGGTTCCGCCATCTTTAACAGAAACGAGCGGGCGTCATTCCGCCATATTACACGTTAATTGACTTTAGCGACTCAAAAAAAAAAATATTCAACTAGTGATAAGTAATAACTATAAAAAATTATTACCCCTCTGGCCATGGCGTCTGTGGATATAAATGGTTTAATTAGTAAAACGCATGAAAACAAAGAATCAGAAATTTGTGGTGATTCAGATTGTAGTAAATATGATTCGGAAGATAGTCGGTATGATTCAAAAACTCTAGCGTATATAGAAAGTCTTGTAAAAGAAAAACACAATTTAAGCACAGGGACTTATCCAAACGCCAGCCGTTTACTGGATGAAGGTGATTTTAAATTAATTCAATAATGAAAATAGTGTTTAGTTTATAGGAAAAGGCGTGCTTTCTCGGTTATTTTATTTTAATAATATTCAATTGAAGCAAATAATTATAATAAAAAATAGATGATCATAACAAACAAAGATATTTAGGTCGTTCATTTAAAAATAATACCATTTTTTATAATCTCATATTTATTGGTCACTAATAATTAGTATATTGTATAAATTTTTGTAATGGTGTTTAATTTCAGAATTAAATAAAACAAAACAAAGTGGCTATCCGTCGAGGGATTATCGATATATTGATATATTTAGAGAAAAACCTGTTAAAGTTGTTGTTAAAGTATTGGTGCCCTGTAAAGAATATCCAAAGGTGAGAGCAACAGTAAATTTTTTTTTATAGCATTCAAATGAATAATTCTCAAAAAATTTGATTTTAATTCATGGCTGTTTAATTTGTATAGTTTAACTTTGTGGGCAAATTACTTGGTCCTAAAGGGAACACTCTTAGGAGGTTGCAAGAAGAAACAATGTGTAAAATGATTATATTAGGCAGGGGTTCTATGAAGGACAAGACAAAAGTAAGAGAGATTTAAATATTTTAAATATTGTATTCGAATAATAATCGTTCATTCATTCCTCCATTATGAAATGCATTGTAGTTAGGTTATTTCACAAAAAGAAATGAAAGTATTATGACTAATAAACAAATTCTTTAATTTAGATTTTAATTTACTTTTAAGGAAGAAGAATTAAGGCAAGGATTAGATCCTAAATTTTCACATTTATCTGATGATTTACACGTTGAAGTCTCTACTTTGGCTTCTCCATCTGAAGCACATGGCAGAATTGCATATGCTTTAAAAGAGCTCAGGAGATATTTTATACCCGATGCTAACGATGAAATTAGTCAAGAACAATTAAGAGAATTAGAAAGTTATGAATTAATGGAAGGAAATGGAGATTCAGAGTCTAAATCTAGAACAAAAACACAGACTGCCTTTAGAGGTGAAGTAAATACACTTTTTTATATACATATATAACCTAACCTATTAACGATATTGTCGAAGAATTTTAACAACAAACAAAATCGATTGTTATTATTTATTTTTTTTTATGTACATAACAATATTTTTAATTTAATTTACAGGTAAAAGACTTTTAAATGCTAAATATGCTGGAGGTGCATCACATGTAAAAGTTATGAATTTTTCAGATAAATCTAAAAATGTAGTCGGAACCAATAAAAACTTTTCATCTGGAGTGCCACATTTTCAAAATAATTTCGATCGTAGGAATCCAGTAAGGTTTGTTTTTAATATGTGTCATGCAATTTTTTTTTTTCTTTTCTTTTCGTGTACTGGAATAATATCGATTATTATCAAGTTCTTCTTTTTTTTTTCCAGTAGTAATAATAATAATAATGATAATAATAATAATATGAAAAAAAAAAAAAAAACACTTGTCCTGGCTTTAACTTTTTTATTGCTTATCACTTATTAATAATTAGTTTTCATTGTACATTTTTTAGCATTCAATTTAGTTAAATTATTTTATTTTTAGGCCTTATGAAAACTATACTAATGAATGTGGGCAGTTTCCTTACCAAGGTAGGTGTGATGACGTTAATGAAGCAAATTTTGTTAGAAAAAAAAAAAAAAAAAAAAAAAAAAATAGGCGTAAATTATTGTAAACTTTTCTCAGTCGGTTTAATTTTCACTCTTGTTCGTTACATTATTATTATTATTTAATTTATTTATTTATTTATTTTTTATTTTTTTAAATTGGAACTTACGTAAAAGTTTTCTTACCTACAACTTTTTTTTTATTAAATAATTTAATAATTTATTCATCATCATTATTATTTACAGAATCCCTTATTAACTCTTGACAAATTTTTTTTTTTTTTTTGTTATGTAATTTTCAAACGGACGATGATTCAATAATTGACACCCACACATTTGTAAACACGCACGCACGCGCACACGTGTACGTGTGTGCTTACGTCATTTTACCATCATTTTATTGTTATTATAATAATAATTATTATGATTATTTATTTATTTATTTTTTTATTTTATTTTAGTTGTATTGATTAACCATTTCAATTTTCTTACTTTTGGTTTTTTTATTTATTTATTTTGTTGTTTTTTTTTTTATTTTTTCAGAAAATTCAAGAGATCAGTGGAATAGGGGATATAAAATAACACCTGGAAGTGCACGCTTTCTCTCCAGATCTGCGCCTTACAATCGTTCAAATTGAGCACACCATTCAACACAAAAGTAAACAAACAAACAAACAAAAACAAATCAATCAACGAGGACAAACAAACAAACAAAAAAATAAATAAAAAATATTTTTCGGGAGGGACTAATAACTATTTTTTTTTTTTTTTTTTTTTTTTTTTTTGGGAAAAAAATTCCGAACCCCGTAAAAAAAAAGGAAAAAAATTTAAAAAAAAAAAAAAAATTTTTTTATTTTTTTACGTTCTTTATTCATTTATTGAATTAATAATAATAATAATAATAATAATAATAATAATAACGAAGGAATGAATGAATAGTAGTACCCCGACACCCTTGTAAATAAGTTGAAAGTATTATTTTATTTATTTTATTTTTTTTTTTTTTTTAAAAAAAAAAAAAATAAAAATAAAAAGTAATGATATTTATAATATTGATAATAATAATAATAATAAACTAATATTATTCCAATAGGGTAAAAATTAACACGTAACGAACGAGTGTAGTAGGAAAACTCTAATTAAATGTCAAAAAAAAAAAAAAAAAAATTTAAAAATTTGAAAAGAAAAAAAAATTTAAATAAAAAAAAAAAGGAAGAAATTATTTTACGATTAGTTTTAAAATTTAAATTTAAATTTAAATTTAAATTTAAAAAAAAAAAAGAAAAAAAATTTTTTTTCTATAATATTAACTGTTTAACATTTAAAAAAAAAAAAAAATTAATTAATTTAATTCAATTCATTTTTATCTAAAACTTTACATTTAACGAATAAAATATATAAAAAAAAGAATTGTATAATATCTTTTGAATTAATTAATATAACAAATAAAATAATAATAATAATAATATATATAAATAAATAAATAAATATATACATAATATAATAAATAAAACGTTTTGGTTTGTACATACATTTATGTATGTATGCTTTTAAAAAGAAGAATTACTTTTTACATAAAAGTATAAACAAACAATATTCGTTTTTTTTTTTTAATATTATTTTTAATTAATAATAATAATAATAATAATAATAATAATAATAATAATAATAATACGACTAACAAATAAAATTAATTGTGTAAATCATTAATTAGATTTTTAAAAAGTGAAATTTCTATTTTTTTGTCGAATCAGTTAATCATAAATTAGAATTTCATTTATTTTAATTATATTAAAATAATTCATATTATTATTATCGATTCACAAATTTTTGGGTGGATAAATAAATAAATAAATAAATAAAGGATAAAATTTAGGAGTCGTTATTTGTTATATAATAATAATAATGATAATAATACATATTTAAATGAAAATAGAAAAGAAAAAAAGGCACACAAACACACAAATTAAAAAAAAATTATTTTTTAATAATGTTTATAGATTTGTTATTAAAATATATGTTAAATAAAATAAAATAAAATAAAGGTTATTAAATAAATTAATTAATTAATTAATCACTATAATATTTTTTATATATATTCAAAAGAGTAAAAAAAAATTTTTAATAATAAATAATTGTCATTTATTATTTATATAAGTAAATTAATAATAATAATAATTATAATTATAATAATAAACTATAATAATAATAATGATAATGAAGAATTAACAAAATGATAAATTAATGTTTTCAAATTAATAATATTAATAATAATTAGTTTTATTAAAGTTTTATTAAAAAATCATATATTGGTATTATTATTATTATTAAACAAAAAATACATTTAAAATACTCATTCACATCAGTTTTTTTTTTGTTTAACGGTTTATATTATATTTTCTAAACATTTATATAATCAAATTTTAATTATAATAAATATAATTCATAAAAATAAATATATATTGACAATTGATAGAAACGGGTTTATGTCATTATTTTGTTGTTTAACTTGATGGAAATGGTAGAATAAAAAAAATGGCGGTTAAAATTAAATTTTCGCGGGTAAATTTAAATTAAAGAAGGCACTGCCTAACATGTGACAAATTTATCGTCAATGTTGAAGGTCAGTTAATGTTAAACATGGCATACAAAAGTAACGCTTGAATATATTTTCTTTTTTTTTTCTTTTTTTGTGTTTTTATGTAATAAAAAATAATTTTATATTATTTAATATTTATAAGTGATACGGTTGTTTGTAAAGTAATATTAATTAATGTTTGTTATGCACTTTTATAAATAATTTGAAAATGTTATTCAAGTATCAAAAAGCGGAAAAAAAAAAAACGATTGAATTTTTTTTGAAAAATGTACAACTGAGCAGATTGAGTAAGTCGACATTTGTAAGTTTTTATAATTAATTATTATTCTTAATTATTTACTAATTTAAAATTATTTGTGATTATAAAAAGTTTTCTAAGGAGCAAGCAATCAAACAAACAAACAAACTAACAAACAAGCATAAAACTTATTATAAGATTTTGTTTGGG